GTCTACAGACTGCAGTTCCTTCCTCTGCTCCAAAAGTATTGTCGCACACTGTCCCCCACTCTCCCTTGCAGTAGACCTCCAGTAGACCAGTGTTCACGTAGTCACCCTGTGACAAACGGACCATACCGTTGTACGGGTCATCCCATATACGGGTAGAATCTGTTATGAAGGAAATTGATTATGTAAACTATGTTAATTCAATACACTTTGATGAAATAATAACAATAAATGTGATTGCATCATTGATAGGCAACAGCCAGGTATATGATATTATACATGTAGACAGTGCAGCTTTTATAATAACACTTCTGTAGGTGTGGGCTGCCAATGGTGTCCTTAATGAAGAGATATGTAGATTCACTTACAGCATGTTACTGATACATCTTCTCTAGCAGTACATAAAGTGCTGACTGTAGTACTGACTGTACACTGAAATAGCATCAAGTAATTGTCGTTGGAACACGATACATCATTCAGTAGTGCAGTATAGTTATCATTACCAAACCTGTTGAGAGAAAGGAATGAGAAATATTCACATCTTATGTAGTCACAGAAACAATCAATGAAACATCTGAGGTTTAGAGTAGAGCTCAAAAAGTTCAACTTGTGTTGAGATTATAATGTGTATATAACTCTCAATGGTAAAAAACACAAGATGCAGTAAAGTTGACAATTGCTGCTAACAGTAAGTAAATATGTGATAATACAACAACAGTTTTAGTTTCTGTGTCTGTAGGTGTGTGTGTTTGTATAATGCTTGCATGTGGTCCTTACGAGTCAATTTCAGCATATGAATGAGAAGAGGCTCCAGTGTACGTTAACTGGTGACAAATCACGTCAGCTTCACTTGTGCCAAATGAGGTGAAACGACAAATGTTTCCCCACCTGTTAGAGATTGAATTAGCCGCGCCAATACCATACACTTGAACCCTGCCTGAGGAGTAGGAGCTGGAAGAAACCCCGTCTCTAGCGAGCCTGATCGCTCCAGAGAGTAAGGACACAGTAGGAGGAGTAGTGGTTTGAGCTGTAAAAGAAGAAAGGATCCATTTTGAAACTGATTTCACTTTCCCTTACCCTCTACATGTATGATGCTTGCACTGATTAAAAACAAGCAGAGAGCTTGGAGTCTCATTTGTCTTGTTTTCTGCTCCGTAGAAACAAGCAAAGTGAGAGTCAACAAGAATTTTAGCACCACCTAAAATTGGCAGCAAGGAGTGAGCCACACCCTTGCGTGGGAGGAAGGTGTTGATATAGGCGTGGCTATAATGAAATTAAAATTTTGGCGGAATAATTCAGTAATTCTTGCAAAAAAAAACTTAAAACAGAAAAATGAATTTCTCTGAAAGCTTCCAGTCCAGTCGCCATCTCGTCCGTTTCTCTCCAGACGGTCTGTTCCTCGCCTCCTCCTCCCAGCACCGCGTGGTCATCAGAGACTCCAGTACACTAGAGATACAACACATACACACCTGCCTCGACCCTGTGCAGGATATGGAGTGGTCTCCTGACTCTAGTCTCCTCATGTGTGCACTGTACAAGAGAGGGATC